TTGCTGCAGTAACATATTAACGATTTGCTTATTTTCTCTTCGCTGAACCCGCTGCTCCCGAAGAGTTGTCCCATCAGTTACTCGGAAGACAGTTGGCACAACGCCCCGCTTCAGTTTAAGCCTCGATGAAAAGCCTGAAAAATTAGGAACATTTCAGAAATTCGAATGCTATGCAAATAAAATAAATATATTTTACCCATTTCATATTGCATGAGGTTCATAAAATCATCATTTATAAAATGGTCGTTGCAAATAACACAATTTTTGTGGTTGAAAGGACTTGATCGCCGACAGAAACCAATCCACTTTTTTGCCAAAGCCACATCCGAAGGGAAAGAAAAATAGTTCTTTAACAACGATTTGTCGGAACTATCGTTGTTGCAACTTGCCACTGCAAACTTCATTTATAAAAATAAACTTTTTCCAATTAAAATTATTTCAAATTCAATTCAAAAAACCGCCTTCTATTCAAATGCTTATTTTTTTGCGTTATTTTGTTAATTTTCTTTTCGCTTATGACGTCACCATGCGAACAGCTGATTGCCAAACTCAAACCGAAAAAGATAGCGGTTCGTCGAAGGCGCAATCTTCTTTTCTATCATTCTTGGCCTACAGACGAATCGTTCGTGCGGCCTATCGTTCGAGATACATAATAAGGCTGGTAAGCTTTTGAATTGCATCAACCGTGTCTTTGCTGTCTATCTTTACGCTATCACGACAAAATCACATATGATCGTCTGTGGCAAACACAGTATAGACAGTAACCAACCTTTTTGGGTTGTTGTTGTAGTTATATTCACTCCTGAGGAAGGCACGGGGTTGTGTGCTGCTATTTATTGGCCTTCCTCAGACTTTTTATTAGATATCAGGGTTGTGTGATGCATTATTATTAGATAAATAAATTTAAGCATTTGACAAATCGTGATTTTATTAAAAGAAAATTATAAATGGTGTTGAAAAACCAAACAAACGGTCGTGCGAAAGCTCTATTTTTGTGTCTTGTTAAAATTTATACATGGCGTATTGATGGTAATACAAGCAATGTATTCTTTTGTGGATTTTGTTACTTGAGAATTTAGACAACGTGCGAGCTGCCAGGTTCTGTTATCAATATAATTAACACAAGCTTTTTCGCGTAGTTGCCTTTCAATAAATAGAATAAACAAATATTCGCAAATAAATTGGATTTATTTTATAACTGACAACTAACGTACGCTTTTTGTTCTTTTCTCCATTTTGATTTTGACTCTATTACCGCCAACAACTTTATGTGTATACATATTTACAAGCTGTCAAAATTTTGCGTAGTCACACGAGCTAGGTAAAAACTATGGCATTCTTATTCACAAGGAGAAATCTCAAAATTTTTGTTTGGTATTTCCAAATTTTCTCTTTTTTTATCAGTTGGCAAAAGCCCTCAGTGGCAGCGCTCCGAACGTTGAGATAGTAATTTCATGTCAATTAGTAGAAAAGTTCCATGATG